CAAATAAGATTTTTCCACTCTCCCGAGCACCCGGCATGGGTCTGTCATTGAAAATGCAAGCAGCGCAGTGCCAACCTCTGCCACCCACCCTCCCCTCCGCCAGCCCCTCAGTGCCGAGCACCCGGCCAGCCAAACTCCCCCACTGTCACTGCTGGACCCCCTCCACTGCACCTGCTGCTCCCCCTGGGCAGTGCTGGGGTGCTGGACACAGTGCCCTCCAGGTGGGGCAGGTTCCCCGGGGGGTTTCTTAGAGGGATGCTAGTTTGGGGGTGTCAACCTGGGTGGGCAGCATGGCTTCGCAGTGCCCTTTGGGTGCACCCATGTGCCTGGCACTGTGAGTGGGGAGTGGGACAGGGGGGTGCACAGAGGTCCCCACCACACTGGGTACGTGCACCCCACCAGGGCCTGCCTGCCTCCAGGGAGGGTGCCTGGCTCTGGGACAGGCACACAGTGGGCTCACCCCAGGGGTAGGGGGTGAGGGCTTGTCCCTTGTAAGAACTATTTGGCCCAAGATGTGCATGCTAGGGTGGGCATCACCCCACAAACCCCACCCCAAGGGATCCCATCCCCAGCACACATGTTGGGGGGAGGACAGGAGCACTCCACCCCTCAGCTGGGCACATCCACCAAGCACCCACAAGCGTCACCCCTGGACCCAACCCTCCCAAAGCCCCCAGTTCCCCCAAGCCCCTCAGTTCCCCCAAACCTCAACCCTAAGCACCCCGTTACCCGCCATGGCCCCAGCCCAGAGCCAGGCACCTGCCCAGCAGCCCTCAGCCCCGCTCCCTCCTGCCGCCACCACGTCTCCCCTCTGCTATTGTCAGAGGGTTGCCTCTGCCTCTGTCTGCGAAATTAATTCGGAGGTGGAGAGGGAGAATTATGTAAAGTGTGGTTATTCTGGAGCGGCGGGGGAAGCGCGGCTGATGGCAAAGTGCCTTTTTGTGTGTTTAATATGCATTTTTTTCCAGTGGTGCATTTTCAGGCGGGTAATTTGCTGTCTTTTCAGACCCCGATCAGTATCATTTCTCCGGCAATGACAGCTTTTATTTGCACTGAAATGAATGCTGCGAAATTTCCAAGAAATAGCTGAGGCCCCCGTTGGCTGCCCAACCCCATGGGGCTGGGGCACAGGCACCCACCAGCCCCTGCCCCCCTGCAGCCCCCCAGCCAGCCCCTGCCTGCAGCCCTGCTCAGCAGCAGTGCCCGGGGGTGTGGGGCACACTCGTGTGCCAGTTTGCACACCCTGTCTTCACAGGTGTGTGCGCTCCCCTGGGTGCCTTGAGCCCTGTGTGCACATCAGCTCATCACGCCTAGGGGTGGGTCTATACATACCCCAATGCATGTGCACATATACAACCCCCTTCTGTGCGCGCACACGCTCCTAGTCCATGCATACACCCCGCGCCTGGTGCGTATGCACCCCGCCTTGGGGGGGGGGGGGGAGGCCTCAGCACCCCTGACCCAGGGCACCCAGCCATCAGGAGTGTTTGGGGGTCCCCCATGCACCCCTGTTCTCCGCAGCACAGCACAGCCCTTGGGGAAACTGAGGCACAGAGGGGGCAGGCAGAGAGGGGTGCTCTCCCCACCGCCCACCACCTCTCCAGGCACTGGCAGCAATGGGTGGGAGCCCGGAGAAGATGCAGGGTGTGTGTCTGTTTGTCTGCACGTCTGTATGTTAGGAGGGAGGAAGAAACGCTGTTTGTGTAGGTGTGCACCACGTGGGTGTTGTGCGCTGGAGCTGCTATGCCAGCATGCGATGCTGCCTTTGCGGCAGCCATGCACGCTGTGTGTGCGCATCTGGCTGTGCATGTGCGTGCCCGTGTCAGCCCCCTGCCTGCGTCCCGGTGTGTGTGACGGCGTGTCTGCAGGGGTGGCATGGGCACCTATGTCCATGGGATGCTGTGTGGGCATCTCCATCTGAGAGAGCATCCCTGGGTGTGCAACACCGTGTGTGCAAGCCATGTGTGCTACCCACATGTGCCCCTGTGGCCCAAGGGTGATGAATGGTGTTGGGGGGTGCCCACATGTGTGCAATGCTGCACACACACCATGGGGGGCTGTATGTCCCGGCCTCAGGTCCTGTACACCTCCAGCCACAGGTCCCCAGCTGCAGTGGAGCTGGTGCCTGGCACAGCCAAGGTTAACTCTGCTAGAGCCCATCGGCACGGTGCGGAGAAGCTTTAATTTAATGACTGTGAGGCTTTTTATGGGCTTTTAATTACGTGGTGATAATTAACATTATAGGCCACCGGGTCCCGCTGGTGCCCAGCTGCCCTGTGCCAGCTCCCGCCTGTTTGTAAATAAACCCTGCGGGCTGTGCAGTGCCCACCCCAGGGCATCCACCTGCGACAGGGAGCAAAGCCAGCTCCAGCCCCCTGCCCACATGCCAAGGTGGGGATCTGGGCACACATTTGGGCACAACCCACTGCAAAATTTGGGGAGCAGGACCCAGGGGGTGTTGGGGGGAAAAATGAGTCTCCAGGGTAAGAGGATGATGATAGGGGCACAGCTGATGGCACCAACACCGTCAGGAGGGGGCTGTTTGGAG